CTTCTTCTTACCTGTCAGTGGTTCTAATTATGTGTGTCTGCAGCCGCCGAAACGATTACCAACCAGAAGCGAAAGACGCTGATTCCCTTGAAGAGCAGCGATGCGCACAGTGGCGAGGAGACGATGACGGGCTTGTTCCGCAAGATTGTGCGGCAGGAGGGTCTGACGGGACTGTATCGGGGCATAACGCCAAACTTCCTCAAAGTCCTGCCAGCCGTCTCCATCAGTTATGTCGTCTACGAATACACGAGTCGGGCGCTGGGCATCAAGATGTCGTGAGGTGTTTTCCTCCCAACTCGTTTCGATGAGGTTAACTCTCGGCGCTTACTGGCTGTGGCTGTGGCTCTGGCTGTGGTTGCGGCGGCGATTGTCTGCGGTGCGGATAGTGCTGCTGCTGCTGTCACGAGCTGCCACCGTCACGGGCACTGTGCTCCAATTTGTATAGTAGTAGTGGTAGGGTTAGGTGAGGCAAGGCGGCCGCCATTCGCTCTCTGCTCCGTAGCTCTCGGTCTCTCTGGGAGATGGAATATCTGCTGCTTTCCTTAAGTGTAAACCGGCCGCTTCCATGTACTGTATGGTGTATCCTTTACATTTATAGTTGAATTAGTTTTTGGTTATTTTCATCTTAAAATATTAAACATAAGTGATACTATGGCTAATTTATTTATAAATATGTGAAGGAAAGAGAATGTTATGTGAGAAAATGTGCCGCGTGGAACCCAGATCCCAGGCGATTCCCCCATTTCGAAGGCTATGCCGTTGTAACTATTAAGCTCTAATTTATTTAAACTTGTACGGTAGGCTATGTCGGAACAATCCCTCAGTTAAAGTGCTCGCAGTGCTAACAAAAAACGAACAGAAAAGAAAAGAAAAGAAAACACATACCAAAAACGAAACCAGCTACGATAGGAGAACAGAAAACGGGCTAAAACTTGGCTTTGTCTGCCCCCAAATAATATGTTGTCTATAAGGTTTTAGTGGGGGCAAGCGCAATAGCAGAGTGAGCGTGGGGAGTGTGAGGCGAGGTCGTTGGCTGAATGTGACCGGGGGGAATTCAAATGAAATCAATGGATATTTTTGGCAGCGTATTGGCTTGTACACAAAAGACATTAAAAACTACGATGTACTCGGTTTTTCGCTTAGACTAAACATTACACAAAATAATAAGGAAAACACTTAACGTTTACAATGTGATGATAATAGTTAATAATATACATTATATACATACATAAAAACAAGCATACATATACCTACTACCTACGATACCGACATATACGCTTCGGAGCTGTCGCGGCTGACATTTTGTAGCATTTTATTTGTTAAGTTTAGCAACACTTTCTCTTAGATCGAAAATGAAGCCAACGAGATTAATTGTGACTAAAGCTAACAAAAAAATGAAAAACAACCACAATTTTAATTTATTTATATATCATGTGAACACCAAACACCCGAACCCCAAACCCCGAACCCCGACCACAATCTTAAGTTCGATTATACTGTGTATTTTGGAATAATTTAAGGAAGAAAGAAAGTCATTATAATCTGAATTTAAAAGTATATGTATGATTTGTACCTTACACCTAATTAGCCAATTGAATTTTTGTACATCTTTTAGTGAAAATACCAAGTAACGACTTTTCATTTCCCAAAACAACGCATTTTTTATTAAGTCTGTTTATTCAGAATTAAAACTCATATCTCAAACATTTTTAATACTGAAATTTATCATGAAATATCACGCAAAAGCACACACATTTTTCAGTCCAAATAAATACAAATAACTAAACTGAAAATGTACACAAATGATTTCTTTATTGTTTATAATTTCTACAGGATTTACTTTGCGGATTGTTCTAGTCAGACACGAATCCCACACTTGATATCTTCCTTTGACAATGACATGACACAAATGAATCCATTGATACACTATATTGTCTACATTACTACTATCTGTATTCTACTCTACTCTATGAAAAAAAAAGGTCTTTCCAGTTAGGTATGTGTATTGAGGTCTATGCTAGTCCAGGAGACAATTTCAATATTTCATTGAATTAATTAATTAATATAAAATATATAACTATAACTATTCTGATATACATATATTGTTATATTTTTGTACGTTTAGCTAATTTTTAAATAAATTATTTAATGTGATTTATAAGCCCAATTCGAGTTACAAATAAAAACGAAATTAAATATGTGCAGTGTTCCTCTGGTGATCAACGATTGGATATCCACGAACTGGAACAAGTTCGAACCATCGCTGCGGAGAACTTAACGGATGCGACTAGTACACTGGTTCACAATTTAATCCGTCGCGAGTATTTATAACGCGGCGAACTGAACGATCGGATCGGGGTGCTATTTTTGGAGGGCCACCAACCGTCCGCCAGCTGTTTTCAATACTCAGGCAGCCAGTAGAGAGCAGCAGCAAAAGAGAGCAGGAAACGCGGATGAGTAGAATTTTCAGCCGACGCTGAACAGAAACTTGTATTCCTATTCCATTTTACATAATTTACGGAGAAACATGGAGTACGATCCGACATACGAGAAGATATGCTCTACGCGCACCGTCCAGTCGGAGAAGAAGGGGTTCTTCAACGATTTCTGTGGCGATGTGAGGGAGACATGTGGCGACAAGTGGCTGAAGAACTACTTTGGAAAACTCAAGTCGAACGCGGCGCGTGTGCTCTCCATATTCAGTGATCGCGAGGTGTGCGATCCGGTGCTCGGCGTGCTCGAGCACGTCCAGCCTGTCTACAAGCAGAAGGACGCCCTCTTCTCCTTCCAGAGGCGGGCCCAGGCGGACAAGTTCTATCTTTTGAGCTGCAGCACGAATGAGGCAGATGAGCGCAGGGAGCTCCTACAGCAGGCACTGCTGGCCTCCAATCTGGCCGTGATGCGTGCCCCCGAACGCAATGTGAACCCCTCCATTGACGATGGCCTCACCCTGGCCCTGGCCTACCGATCGCGCGCATCCATACTGATTGGCCTGGGCGAGGGCGAGCCGGCGCTCAGCGACCTCAAGCTGGCCACCAATTTCGGACTGGAGTTGAAGGGCAGCGTGGACTACTACTGCAAGATGGCCAAGGCATATGCGGGTGAGTGGAGCGGCAAGGTAACCCTCTTGGAGCAACTTATGAACTTCCCTCTTTGGCAGCAATGGGAGAGGGTGCACGGGCCGAAATATCCTTGAAGATTGCCGAAAAGCTGGCTGGATCCGATACCTCGCACATTGCCATATGCCGCAAAGAAATTGCAGGGATAAAGCCTGTCCAGAAGGTGTCATCCACGGAGCAGGTGCCGCAGCTGGCACACGGGGAAAACTCCGAACTGAACGGCGCTGCCAATGTGGTGAAGCTCGTGGAGACCAAGGAGAAGGGACGCTTCGTTGTGGCCAGCGAGGGCCTGAAGACGGGCGATGTGGTGCTGTGCGAGAATCCCGTGGCAGCCTGCCTGATTCCCAGCTTCTTTGGCACCCACTGCCACCATTGCCTCAAGCGGTAAGTGCATCCGATTGTCGGTCCTGCAGTGTCACTGACTGTTGAAGCTGTATCCCCGCATCCCCGCAGGTTGCACACTCCAGTGGCGTGTCTGCATTGCTCGGGGATTGCCTTCTGTTCGGCCCAGTGCATGGGCGAGGCCTGCGAGAGCTACCATCGCTTCGAGTGCGAGTTCATGGATCTGCTGATTGGCTCCGGCATGTCCATCCTCTGCTTCATTGCACTGCGCATCTTCACACAGGCCGCCAGCGTGGAAGATGGCCTGGCCACGGCCAATCTGCTGTTCGAGAACCTGTGCTCGCACGAGGATGTGCGCCAGCCGGAGGACTACCTGCAGCGCTCTCTGATGGCCGGCTTCCTGATGCGCATCCTGCAGAAGGCGCAATACTTTGGCCAGCGCAAAACCGAGGGCGTCAATCCGACAGCCGTGGAGCTGCAGGTGGCCACCGCCTTGCTGGGCCTGCTCCAGGTGCTGCAGTACAACGCGCACGAGATCTACCAGACCCAGGTGACGGACGAGCATCGGTTCGAGGGCAGCAAGACGGTGCATGTGGGCGCAGGTCTCTACGGCACCGGCTCCTACTTCAACCACGAATGCTGGCCAAGGTACACGGAGGCTCCTCCCCGGCAGTGACTGGCAGTGTATAATCCTTTTTCTATCCATTCTCTTGCAGTGTTGCCAGCTATTTTGTGGGAAAGAAACTGGTGCTGGCGGCCACAAAGCCGCATCGTCCCAACGAAGTGGTCGCCGTCAACTATGGCCCCAACTTCACGACCACCAATCTGAAGGAGCGCCAGAGGTCCCTGCGTGGTAGGTACTCCTTCAGCTGCAGCTGCATGGCCTGCCAGGAGAACTGGCCGCTGCTCCAAAAGCTGGACAAGCAGGTGCGCTTCTGGTAGGTATATTTTCGGATCGGAAAGCCAAGGAATTACTATATCTTATATATACCTTAAAGGTGCACTTCTGCCAACTGTGTGAATCTGCTCAAGTTCCCAAAGGACTTGGCCAAGGATGTGCGGTGTCCGCGCTGCCGCAAGAATATCTCCCTGAAGGAGAGCGTCGCCAGGCTGATCAAAATCGAGGAGCTCTACAGGGAGGCAGCCCAGGCGATGCAGGCGCAGAAGACAGTCGAAGCTATTGAGCTCTTCAAGGAGGGCATCGATCTATTCTTCCAAATAGCTGCCCTGCCCCACAAGGACACTCTGCTGGCACAGCACTCGCTGACAAAGTGTGTCGCAAATACGGGCACCACCTTTAACAAGTAGCATTCAGATGGAAAATAATCATTGACTTGCATATGTATTTATATGTATTAATTATTACAACGTTTTTCTACTTAATACGCTGCTGATTGATGAAGACTGTGTTCGATAAATTGTTTGAATTTTAGTATTTTTGCCGCTACATATCGCTGCAACTCTTCAGCTGTGTTGGTATTTTCGCTGTTTGCGATGCATCCCTGTGCCAGCTGTTTCAGCTGCATCGGTCACATTAATTTTGCAACCCTCACGCTGGGTTTGTTTTGAATTATTTTAAAAATGTTTAAAAAACTAAAGCCGGGTGAAAGCGAGGAGGATGTTCTCCGCATGGCAGCCGACTTCAATGCGGAGCGAGAGAAGAATCCGAATTTTCAGCCAGCAGCGGCGTTTGTACGTATGGAAAAGCGTAAGTGATTATTATTCTCTGTCATTGCTTTTGCCGGGTGCCATGTGAATTTTCCGAATATTTCCTGCAGCTCCAAGGAAGTCCATGTTTGCACAGAAACGGGAGCAGGCGAAGCTGGGTCGCATATCCTCCACCAACGAGTCAGGACCACAGGAGCCCGAATTGAACGTAGAAGAGGTGAAAGGAAATACAACGAGCAGTAACGGGACTCCATCGACCACCGTTCTGCTGGATGAAATCCATGAGAACATGCTGGGAGATGTGCGTGGTAGCAAAGTGAATCCCAGTTTGATGGGCGCCGTGCTTGGCGATATTGTGGAAAGAGCCGAAGGTGCGCAGCGTCCCGCAATCAAACATTCCCATGAGGTAAGGTCGCAACAAGTGGGTTTTTCCACAGCTAATAAGTTTTCTATACCTCACAGCCAGCCACCAATAGGCCGCGCAGCATTTTCGCCAAACAGCTTTTGGAAGGAAGTGCAAAAAGTATCCCGGAGGCGCAGAAGAGCCTCAATTCCAAGGAACCAACCGGTCGCAGTGCCATTGTAAGAGATGCTAAACTGGCAAAAGAACTGCATGAGGAAAACATGGCTGTGCTCAGTCAAATGAGCACTGAGGACATTTTAGCCGAACGCCAAAGATTGCAGGCCACATTGGGTGAGCCATCTGATGGTCTCTCCTCTATTTTTTATTTAGTTATACATTTAAACCTTATTACAGATCCAGCATTGCTTGCATTGTTGTCCAAAAATCGTGCAACCAGGAGCCCTTTGCCTAAGAATGAGCCATCGCCAAAGCCCATCGAACCCCCGCCACAGCCTCAAGGGCCCCTCTCATCTTTGGTCGACTCCAATCCAGCCCATGCGCTCTTGCTACAAAGTGACGAGGACAAATGGCTTAATTTCAATCTAGTGGAGGAACACAAACTGGCCTGGATGCGCGATATACCAGCCAAGATGAGCGAGCTGAAGCCGGGACAGCAGTTCGATGCGCGCTTTGACTGGAAGGGTGTGCTACTGCCGCACACGCTCAAGAATCCAGAGCAGGACCAGGCTCCACCAGTGGACGAGCGAGAGCTGTTTTTACACGGCGAGGAAGCTGATCGGCCGGGCTACACACTGCAGGAGCTGTTTCGATTGGCGCGGTATTGCTTGGTGATTCCTTGGCATAGAACTTTAATAATTTCCCCTTTGAATTGACAGCTCCACTGTGTTGCAACAAAGGATCTCGGCATTTGGTGCCATTGCGGGTATCTTCAGCATCTACAATCAGGGCTTTTATGACCAGGTGCTACAACTGCCGATTTCGAAAATGTTCTTCCTACTGCGCTTTGGCCTCGATGAAAATGTGGCCGCGCAGCTGGAGGTAGTAAGCAGGGCTCTGGCCTGCTTGTTCTACAACGAAACGGACGAAGTGCTGCTTGACCACATCCACGACAATGCCTACTGCCATTGGCAGCCAACGCTGCAGGTTTTGAGCAGTTACAGCGACTCGGACTCCGATCCCACATCCATTGCCTTTCTGCAGCGCTACATGAAGCTGTTGTCGAGCAGTCCCTCTGTGCGTGCCGATGTCGCCGAGGATGAAACGGAGAGCCGCATGTCCATGGATGACTTTCAGCTGGCCGAGACAGACCTATTGGATTGTCTGCTGCGGACGAATATATTGCAGCGCATTACGTGAGACTGATTAGTAACAATAGTAAGGAACAATGAGCTATAATCTATATGTGTACCCACAGGTTTATCTTGAGCTCAGTGCGTCCCGACAACAGCACCGTGGATTCCTGTTTGAAGCTGCTCATACGCATCGCTCGCACAAGCATCAAGGTGGCACGACAGTTGGCAAACGAAAGCTATCTCTTAGATGTTATATTAACCAACTTCCTGCCCTCTGTGTCGTCGGCGAACGGCACCTTCTACAGCCAGCCCCAGCCACTCTGCCTGAAGCTTATTCGAATACTGATCTGCCAGCACTTGGACATAGCCAAGAGCCTTGCCAAGGGCGGGCTAATCGAGAGACTCAAACAGTTTCTGTTTCTACGCGACACTGTTGGGGTTTGTATGAATTTTAGCCAAACTTTTATTGATTTGTTGATCTAAATAATGAAATGTCTCTCTCGTTTTGCAGGGCAAGATGGTACGCGTTCAGGTCGAGGCACTGCGCATCCTGCGGTGTCTGCTCCTCCTGGGGATTGTGGATCGCGATCTGTACAGGTGTGTGAGAACTTCTATTACATTGAGTTCATTATTTGCTCCGTGATGAACTCTTTGTTCACATTGAGATAGCATTTGACGGTTTGAAAAGCAGTGTCGCAGCCATCAGTTCCCTCTGCAAAAGATACGGATGTATAGGGAGCGCCCAACATGATACCCACATCCTAATACATACTCTGGGTGCCGCAGGCTCCAACTAATGCGTTGATCTTGGGGTGAACCTCTTCAGGCAGGACTTCGATCAGAGCCTCCAATTGCATTACGTTTTTGCTGTCGATCTATGGAAAACAGAATAAGATCTTCAATTTGAACACATTTAATCCCAGTCCGTGCGTATACGCACCAGTCCGAACATGTCAAACATGCAGTGTAGAAAGCATTTAAAGGCTGGATCATCGGGCAATACCTGGTCCTTCTGCGCCTGGATCATTCGCTCTGAAAGTGTCGATGACTCTTATCAATTATATCATTCAACTGACGCTCACGCCTCACGCTCACCTTCGGATGCTCCTGTCTGGTTAATGCAGCGTGTCTTCAGCTTTGCTATTTGCTTTTTCATCACCGGGGATAGCTCAAACTATTTGGACAGGACATGAGACATGCATACCAACTGATTGAACAGAAATACTCACCGCTTGGCTCGGTGCCAGCGAGTCGTATGCGATGAGTGCGGCCAGAATAAGGCAAACATTCCAGGAGGAGGCCATTGTGCCGGACAAATTTCGCCACTTGACTGAGGCTGCTCTTCAAGTAACGCTCACTTTTATAGCCACCTGTGGCAATGGAATGTGTGGGGCCTAATAGCTGCTATTATTGAGTGGCACTTCATCTATGTTTAAATCGTTACAGACAGTTCCTGCCCGCCCTGCGCCAAATGGTGGACTGGCACTGCAATCACAGTGTTTTCGATGGAGTGGGCGGTTCAGTGCTGATCCGGCAGCACGCAGCGGCCCTGCTCGTGGCAATTGTGGCCGCCGGCGAGAGCGGAGTCTGTGACGTGGATGGGCAGAAGATGCTGGCAGAGCCACTGCACAATTGCTGTTGCAGCTGGTTGCACTCTGCCTCGCGCATCGATGTCCTCAAAGATGTGAGTGTGGCCCCAAAGCGAATCCTGCCACCTCTAATAGCTACATTTGGTATCACTTTAGTTCACCCAACTGACGCTATTGAGTGCTGCTCTGTATGCCGTTTCTTGGTTCTGCCGCAATGGCTATTTGGGAACGATGGCCTTTCAGCCATTTCTGCGCAGCGTTCTTCCGCAGTTTGTGCGCTCCCCTTGCTTCGTTGCATGTGTGCGTGACCTAAGGTGAGTTAATTGGGGAGCTGGAGGTACACCCATTTCATCACTTTTAATTACTGCCTCCCCAGCAAGGGCTCTGTCTTACTGCGACGCCCCATCGATCGGCGCAATGTTCATCCCGCATTGCCGAATGTGGGCGCTGTTTTGATGCACGACTATGGGCCGCAGCTGATCGTGAGCGACACGTACCCGGTGCACCTGTTAAGCAGCATCTGGGCTTTGCGCGACCTGTCGCTGGAGTCTGGCCAGAGGCCATTGTTTGAGGCGCTTATGCAACCGTCGGTGCTGGAGCCAGTGGCCGAGTATCTGCGTCAAATGAGCACCGGGCTGAATCGCATCCTGGCCACCAACTTCTTTGCCCGCAGCGAGCTGAGGTTCGTCCATCAGTTGCTCGTCACGGACGGACTGGAGACCTACTTGGAGCGCACGCAGCTGCTGCAGCTGGTCTACAATTATCTCTGCTGCCTATCCACAGCCCATGCGACACAGATCAAGAGCACATTCGAGCGCTTTATCTTCAATGGTCAGTACGTGGAGTTGGATGCAGCGTGCCTAAAGCTGCTGCAACAGACTTGCATGGAAATGATTTACCCGCACGTGATTGCTGTAAGCTTACCAACACTTATTCACTTATTGCTCGGACACTTAACATTCCCTTTACGGCAATTAGGACAACTCTGAGCCCTCGCTGTCGCTCTGCTACACGCAGGCACCCATCCTGCCGGCTGACTGGCCATTCTTTCAGATGCGTCTTATCCTCAGCAACTACTTGCAGAATGTGCAGCAGCAGCCAGCGGCCATATTCTCAGGTGAAGCACACGCAAAGCTAATCTCCCTTTGAGAATATTCAAAATCCCTTTGCTCTTACAGAACAGCAGGTGATCCGCATGACTCTTATGTTTGTGCGGCAACTGGAGAGGGAAGGCTTGCAAATTGTTTCGCCGCTGGAGAAGCTTATGTATCTGATGATTGCCTTTATGGGTCCCGACTCGCAGTTCTTGGAGCATGATCTGCATCAGCTGCTGCACGGCTACCTCAAGGATTTCTACACCCAGCATGCCACGCATCACTTTGACTTTGATGCCGAGCTCGTGGATAAGGCCAGATTCGAGCCACTCTACTATTTGTTCGTGGAGCACTTTGCAGCTGCCAGCTACGGCGACGAGCTCTTCAGCTCGCTGGTGCTGCTTCCCTTGGCCCAGAAGTACGACAACAAATGGCGACGGCGCCTCTGGTCCGAGCATGTGCAGGTTATGCGGTATCTCAACTGTCAGGAGGATTTGGTGGGTTCTTGCAAAAACGCAAGTGAAAATCTTAACTGACTGGCATTCTTTTTTGCAGTTAATCGGTGGACTGTCTGCGTATCTGGAACCTGTAGAGAAGGAGCCATCGCTGGTGCAGTTGTACGGCGATGCACTGGAGCGCAATCTGGTTCGTCCTGGCAGCATTGCTTATCGGATAGCACAGCACCACTTCAATCACTCGCAGGTGGTGCAAAAGACCAAATTGTTTTGATTATCTCAAAATTAATTAGGCATGTACCTCCATTGGACTCTGCGGCGATAAAATTATGTCATGGCGGGCTCCAAAGGTGTCTAAATGTGGCAATATTCTATTTAAAAACGAACTGATTTCGGAGCTATCTCTACTGGCCGAAATAGAACCTGCTCAGGAGGACCCTTGAGAATGATATGCACGTGATTTGTCACAATGGCCATTGGACTGCCATTGGAGTGCCCCAATCGGACACTTAATGGGTATAGAAATAAATGTATGCGTAAGACTTAATAGTAATAGTTTGAGTCCTATGTTTGGTATGCATGGGGATCAGTCGTTGTGTAAGCATTGTCCGTGCGTCTAGTTTAATTGCATGTCCGTAATCTGCTTGTGGCAGCCTGACTGATGCAGGGCATTTTGCTATCGGCCTCAATTAATTAACATCACTTGACTTATTGACACATGGCCCAAGACTTGGTTGCCATTGCCGTTCCCGTTGGCTTGCCTTGCCCTGCCCTGCCCGACTGCTGATAAAATATATGTAATTAAATCGAGCACAATTGAGGGGCCCGCTGCTAATTAAATTATTTGATCTGTGTATGTGTGGTGCATGTATTTACGTGTGTGTATTTCCTTTTTGTTTCTTCTTCTTCTTCCACTCTGTACGCTCTTAGACGTGTATCAGCCACCCACACCACATCACACACGATGCTCTACCATGCGTACACTCTGGCAAATGTAAAGGCATACGCCTATCGCTGTGACACATGGCGGATGCGCAACGCAGGGGGGCACGCACGAAGACATACTTCTTTTCTCGTGTCCACACAGACATTGGACTCGACACCACGGGCATGGGTTTCCGCTTGGGTAAGCGCAGAGCAGCCACAAAGTGCGAGGTGTCAGAAGGCTAGTGTTTAGATGTTAATTGCTTTTAAATGGACGTTATTTGATAAGTCAGCGCTGCCCGCCTTGCTGGTAAATATTTGCAGAGGCCCCATAAATTAACCAGTGCTAAGCGGTTGAAGTAACGACAATCAAATTAAATATCGATCGCCCCCCAAACTATTATTAGGCACTGTGCGTAATCTATTTACCTAGACTTGATTGCCCCATTGAAAATTAAAGCTGATACTGGAGGTGGTTGCATACGATTTCAACTTCAGACTGAATTATATTTCTTATCAATTCATGTTCGTTTTGCATACCCTTTGTTAATGCTGTATATGTTTTGTGGCGCATCAAATAAATCATTTGCAAGCGCCATAAACTATATTTAATACACTTAAGAAATGCACTCTAAAATTACCCAAATGGATGCAGCATAAATAACAATAAAAGTAAGCCTCTACTATCAGCCTGTATAAGAGCAAGGGTACACAGAATTCGTCGCGACAAAGTTTGCTGGCTCGCCTTTTGTTTAATTTAGATTTTTGAGTCAAGTCACTGGAAATTTTTTGTGCAGCGTTCGCTTTAAATTGATTTCGTGGGAATTATTTATAGACAGCGGTGAAGCAAAAGAAAGTGCCATGCGGAAAAACTGTTTATTATTTGTTGTATCAATATTAATATTTATCGAATTTATTCATACAACAAAATCAATATTTGGGTGGGGGAGAGAGAGGGAGAACATTATTGTTTGATAAGGCATCAAGGTCTCTCCGCTAGCTACACTCTGGAGGTTGTATATCCGGAGTCAGAGTCAGCTCTTATCGTTGATAAAAAACATTGAAAATGCCAGATAGCAAGTTCCAATTTACCGAAGGTCTCCCCCCACAATTTGACTGCCAGTTATTCTCTTCTATCGGCGATCGCAACGCCAAATATTTGCATATGTAGCCTGCACCTGACTGTTCGCCGGTAGTGTGCACCAAGAACCGGTTTGGTTTCGTTGGGTGCGCTTCCAGCTGTGGACCAGCTCCTTGATTAAATTTTACCCCTCAGAGCCCTTGGCAACAACAGGAGCGACACAATGGACATATTTACACACGATTCGATGGCAGCAAACAGCCGGCTGTTATTTGCATTCGGTTGTGTTGAAAAACCCCTGTTTGTCAGTTTGAACAATTACATTTCAAAGCGAAATTTCTGCAAATGATTATCGATAAGCGATTATCCTTATACATATGTACATCCTTGCCATGCTGGATTTTCTGCAAATTCTTGAATGATTGTTTTTCGATAGCCAAAGTTCGGCCAAAGTTACAGTTGTTCTCAATTGCCTTAATTCTTGAAGAAATCTTGTTAACTGCAGCATTAAGAGCCATCTTGCTTTTGGGCTGTCACCCCTGTATATTGTTTATTTACGCTCTCTCTCTGCTAGAAACAATCCCCTCGGAAAACAAGCTGAATCGGCATATCGCAAGGGAGGGGAGGCAGAAAGAGCAAATACAATACACAGTATCAACGCACCACGGATAGGAGACACATACATACATATGTACTATGTACTACATAGTAGCCCCTATATAATACCACATTCAACTCCAACTCCAACTCCAGCGCCATGACCATCCCATCCCATCCATTCCATACCATGTGCATGAAAGTGGAATTTTTTTAGAGCACGTTTCGGCAATTTCGAATCGATCACGTCATAAGTACGTACGAGTGTATGCTATGCTTTGCCGAAGAGTCGTCGTCGTGTGTTTGTTCGCCGCGGGCGAACAACAGAGGCGAATTGGCTGATGTTTCGATCGCACAGCTAGCTCGTTTCAGTCTTTCGCCGACTCTAAAAACTGAATGTTCCCCCGATCGGAGCGACACGCCGCGCAGCGCCACGTTTGAGTTTGTTTATTTGTTGATGTTCCCGTGATTCCCGTGCAGATCGAGTGGCCAAAAGAAGTAAATATTGGGGATACTTCTCCGATCCGTTTATTTTGGTGCTGCATAATAAATAGATATTTATTTTAGCAAGAAGCCCCCATAGGCAAGTGCGTTTCGTGTACGAGTATAAGATTGTTAGGTTTGTTGTGTGCAAAAAAGAGGAAAGATTTTGTGTTCCAGCCCCACCCTTCGTTGACGTTGATCAGTCAAGCCGATCGCAGTACCGTTAGCAGCTCCGAACACATTTAATTACGTTGCAAGCGTTTACGATTGGCTGCAGTGCTACATGCATACATACATACCTACATATATTAGCGTGAAAGCGACCGAAAGCGACTGATGCGAATGTAAACGCAAAGTGCCCTTTTGTACATCCAAAAAAACCATCCAATTTGTGTGTGCGTTTCTTTGTGGAAAGTACATTTGGGGAATTCCAAGTGGGTCGGTCTGGCTTGTGTTTCATGTGCCTCGTTTCGTGCTGATAATAATTATTTGTAAGCATAGCGCTGGAGCTTCATTCCCTCTGCCCGCTGGCGAGAGCAAATGTTTGCCGATGAGTGGAGTGGAGTGTGGAGAGTGTGTGCCAAGTGAATAAGTTATTTTGGATTCGGTAAAATACAAAAAGCAAAAGAAAGTCAACAAAATTTCTGTGGAACGAATTCATAAAAAATACGACTCTTGTATCGAAGAACCCATCCATTAATTAATAGCCAGGCAGCTGGATTCTACTTTCCACTTGATTTCGGTAAGTTCATACGAGTCTCTACGTATACAGAATTTTTATTTACTTTAAAGCCAAACATGTGGGCCCTAGAACCCACTCTCCTTTGTCTATCTATCTACGTACGTATTTACGTATGTATGTACATTCGAGAAGAATGTGGTTTCCTTTTGTCTTTACGCTCTGCTGTAATTTAATAAACCATCCATTGTGCCGTGCCATCCGAACTATCAAATTATGAGAGCTCCCTGTAATAGTGCTCACTTTCGTTCAGATTTCTTAGGGTTGTATAATCATCTGTGGGGCCAAGACATCCGCATGGGTCAGCAGCGTGTTTGTTGTCATTTGTGCCTTCCTCTCCGGCCACTTTACAAATTCATGTTTAATGTTGAGTGTTGCCTCCACTGGCCCACTGCACAACAAGTGCCCCACGAGTGCACTTGAACTTGAAAGCTATTAGCGAGTTTTCCGGGTCCCTGTCTCATCAAACATGTAAAATATGAGGAAATACAACAAGTGCCGACGACAGTCTACTGCACGATGCACGTAAATATTCATGGAATTGGCAACTGTTTTTAGGGCCCAAGAGACAGGGTATGCACAGATCATTGTTTTCCTGTACTAACCGACGGACGTAATCGTTGTTATGACATTCCCCCAGAGACACACTTAAGTACATATGTATGTATGTATGCACTTTGCGGTCACTTGTCGCTCTTGGGTGTCTTCGGGTTAAATGCTCATTTGTGCTTGCACAAGACGTTTTCTCATTTTCATTTGTGTGTGCACAAATTAATCAAAATATATACACAGATAATCTAAAATAGTTATTTATATAAGTGCATTACATCCCAAGGACTTTATTGAGTTGCCATTAATTTCGCTTGAGTGGACGACTTAATTTATTAAGGGGACTATTTCGTGTCAAGAAACAATTGAAATTATGTTGTGGCTGAATTATTCTCACCTGCGTGAAGTGCAGCAAAGAAAACTCAGTGGAGGGAAAAGCAGAAAAGAGCAGCTGCCCGGAAGAAGCTTAGACAGACATTAGCCCAGCCAGCCCTTGCAACGGAATTCCCATTGCAGCTTCAGGGTTGCTACTGCTGCTGCTGCTGCTGTCCAACCCCTAACCTAGACCTACCGATCCACATTCAAAGGGGGTTGCATTTGAAGGTCGTGTCCTATATACACCGACATTTGGTAAACTCTTACACACGCGCACCGATGAATGGTCTGAGAAATTCCAGTTCGGATCGGAGCACAGCGCCTGTCAGAGCGGATAAAGGCGCGGAAACGAACACAGCCGCATGCCTCGATTAACTTGTCCATTTGCCCAGCCAGCCATTGACACAATATAACTAATGGAAATGCAGCGCTCCGATTGTCACTGCCTTTCCTGCTGACTGCCTGGTCTGTGGACTGTCTGTGCGGCGTCTGGCTCTGGCTCTGGATCTGGGTGGATGGCAGTGACGGCCAGGAGGAGGAGGATTTGCAACTCAACTGGCGCTAGCGCTCTGGCTGATCCAAGAGGCTTTTCTTGTCAGCCACAGACAATAAATGAGGGAGAAATGAGGGGGAACAAAGGCAGTAGGACATAGTACACACACACACACAACGGATAGATCACAACAGAACAGAACAGAACGGAACGGAATGGCGAAAAAATGAACTAATACTCGTAAATCATTGACCTTGCGAACCTTGACAAAGCGACTGAGTGCCTCGGAATAGCTAGTCAAGCAATGTGCATAGATGGATGGATGGCACTCACTTGGGGCGACTAGACAGTCAAGACAGTCAAGGCGAGGCAGTCAAGAGGTACGATACTCGCTGTGGAGGTGGACCACGGCGGAAATGGGTATATGAATGCTCGGAAAGTGACTGAAAATTATGCAAAGCGGCCCGCCAAGTCACGGAATCACCGAGCTGCGACCAAAGCCGCTGCTGCAGCGAATTCGAATTGCAGCGTTGACAATTTTCACCTTTTGCCTTTTGTCTTTTGCACGTTTAATCAAGATTTATGACAATTGACGGAACGGCAGCGACGTGGCAACGCCGCACCCGTAGGGCGGTGGGGTTTCGCGTGGGCGTGTGTCGAGTGTCGGATACAAAAAGTAAAACATCTTTTGCGTAAGAAATCTGCTAATCAAAGTGATGATGGGACGCACGCGTGTGCCGTGCCGGCGGTTGGCTCCCCACCTCCAAGCCATCCAGTGAAATTCCGCAAAATAATTCATAAATTGAATACGCGTTTGATTAAAATCAAAAATTAGCTCCAACAGCAGCCGCATCCACAGCCACAGCCACATCCCCAGGTCCAGCTTCCTTTCATGCTAATCAGAAGAATTTCAGATAAGAGACCGAAACCAAGACCCGCTGCTTTGATGTTTGCTGGACGGATGGTTAATGGGTTACCCATTTTCGAGTGGCCAAGACATTAAACATAAAGTCCCATTGAGACTAATGATATATATGTATGTATTTAAGTATGTATAAGTATTGGCGGAGAATCCCAACTAATGAGCCAGCAGCAGCAGCGGCCCAATTGGCCAGGTAAACCGTTTTCTCTGTTCTTGCTTTGCTTCAGCATTCAGCATGGCCCTTTTTGTTGTTGTTGTTTGTGGGCCAGAAACTTGAATTTGTACAATACCTACAGATGGTATATACTTGCTTCTGCTGCATGGATGGATGGCTACAAACGTTTCATTTCTATTTATCACATTTTGCTTTGTTCTCCGCCCAGCATAGCATAGGATCCATGTAAGAAGAAGTCTCTCTAAAACAAATTTCGTGAATCATACTGACGCCACTTTTCACAATCCGTGCAATGACCTGTGAAATTATGTGGATTATAGTACGGATACATATACATACATAAATATGTATGTACATCTGTATTCATAGGGATTCTTTCTCCCTCTCTCTCTCTCTGTGTGAGATACTCCCCCGAACAACAGACACACTTTTTTTCTGTACTCTGGCCTGTGCCTGCGGGAGCTTTAAATGTTAGACCGCAGATTTATTTTTCTTGGAATTACTTTTCGGGGGAAATTGTTCATGTGTTAACATTTAGTTTTTAAAGGTTCTGTTGTGGAAAGTTACGGAATTTTTTTACCCGACTGCCAACAATCAATATTTTGTTTCGTTCGCACTTTACGTATATGAATATTTTTGTATTTAAATGTTTGTTCGTTCCAAGTGGTGGCAGATAGCAGACCTTTAAATTTGCATAGTAAACCTGAAGTGGAGACGGGTTTGGCACCCGCCCGTAATGGATGTCAAGCTTGGGGTGTGATGGCCACAGCATCGTTGCTGATTAGAAAAGGCTTAGCGCTTGTTAATTGGCCGGCAAACTTATGTTTTTCCATCCACATCCAAATTAATTGAGGAAACGTGCCAACGTCAAGTCCGTGCGCTCGTGCCTTCATCGGCCCTTTGAATGGATGGGAATGGGAATGGGAATGGATGGGATTGAGTATGTATTCACGCAACAGTTGGCAACAGTTTTTTGGGGAGTATTAACGTGGCTTATTTCCCATCAAACTTTTTTACATAATTGTCGGTATCGGTATCTGCATTCACTGCAATGCCCAATGAGTTCCACGCAGCACTTGAATTGCATACAATTTAACTGAGACTCTTCAGTTGTAATTTTTAATAGGAAAGAATTTTTTTGATAAGCCCCTTAGAAGCCCCCAGTGCTTTCCCACGGGTATATCAGTATCGTGTGTGGGTGTGTGTGTGTGCTGTAGTATATTTATAAATATGTGTACAATACTAAACTGTTGAACAATGGGAGCAGGGAGCTGCTAAAATAATAGTGCTGGTTCTGAAAAAAACTGCTGCAATGGTTCTCGGTTTTTTACATTAAGTTATATAAATATTTCTTGTGTGTATAATCACACATCTAACGGGTTTTTCGTTTTATAAAAATACGCGTATTTATGTATTCATTTATTTCCGATTAAAAACGACCTAAGCCTTCAGCCCGAGTTGAGAGTCCGTTATGGAAAATGCTCTTAATGGAAACTTTCCCTCTACTTACGCAAAAATCCTTTGAGTGCAGCATAACTTGCTTTCAGCTTAGCAATTAGACCCGTTAATGGCCAAAACCATCCAAATCAGTGTCTAGAAAATGGTTCGGGACAGAGTACACAGAGTAAGCTGGGCGTTCCGTTCGTTCCGTTTACAGCGCCCTTTCAGGTAATTAAATCTTTGCCAAAAATCAGAGCTTAAGTACCCCTCTGCCCCATCCATAGATTCGAGTAGAACAACGTACGTACGTATGAACGTGCTTATATACCGAATATGCGGCCACAAAATGCAACTGCAACTGCAGTTTTGCTTGCTTTGGCAGTGGTGCTTCCAATGCTAAACGTCTGCATTCTAGTCATGTGAGGGGCATTAGCTGACGACTGGGGACACGACGTGTGGCACCAGCACCTCACCCGCTAGAAGGTAGACACAATCGCACATGACCGATATCCATTTTTATCGCACACTTAGGCGGTCATTAAGCTGCGGCTAAGGCGACAATATTCATTTGAGACGCCGCTCAAGTTTACGACTCTGTCTCTGTCTCTGACTCGGACTCGGACTCTGGGCAGGTGCATGCTTTAATAATATGTAAGCCCGGCCGAGAACAAACTGAGCAATCAGCACGACTCTTGGGCTCTGCCTCTGCCGTTGAAATGTATTTTTGCTGGGTCAGCAAATAGTCAGAGAGAGAGCGAAGCGAATCAAGTGACGAATACTCATCGATTGCCGTCAACAATTCCACGAATTTCGGCTTAGTTACTTTGGTTATTAAAACTGAAATTCGTATAAGTTTTCTGGTTGGCATTGCCTTTTTTATTTGCTTTTGGTACACTCGTTCCACATACTGGGAATTCCTTGTTAAAATTGTTTTCGTTTACCGAGCGCACTTTCGTTTCCTGCGAATCGAATAATCTTCCTACAGGGCCTTCGATTTGATTCGATTCCTTCCATTCGATAGCCCGTCCATGCGGTACTCTTCCATACAT